CAACTTTCCAAGTTAGCTATCAGGGCACACCACCTTGGAACTGCCGTCACGAGAAACTATAGTTTTCTTTAAGCAAAAACGTGCATCATGATTTATAATTTTATGACTGAAAGTTTCATCACTACAAGTCATTTGCTGATGATGATCACCATTAAAATGCAGAGCAAATACAAAATGCTCCCATGAGTAAGACTGATAGGTGTTTTTATCCCATTTAATGCCGCCCTTAATTGTGATACTAATTGGATCTATCTCATTGACAGCATTATCCTTGTCAGTGTCAAACTTAATTTTATCCCTTCCTGGCTCCCATATTGGATAATCGCTCAATTCTTCTTTTTTGCATAGAATGATTATGTAACAAATTTCATATTTATAACGAAGTGTTCCTCCAACTCGTAGCTCAATCATGGGATATTGACCTTTGTCATCACGTTTGAAACTGGTTTGATAGGCTATGAGCAAATCTTTGATATTTGCAGAAATCATGTTACGGCCATAAGAAGAGGCATCTGGTTTAGTGAATGGAGGACTGGGCAGTACATAGTCTGGCATAGCCGGAGGCTCAGCAATATAAACACTCCACCAGATGTATTGTCCTGGCAACAGATCCTTCCCTGATTTGATATAGCGATAAAGACTTGTACAATCAGGTTGACTTTGCGGCGCAGTGGCAATGAAACTGAAACCACAAGGCTTCTTCCCATATTGATCAGGACCATACCCATATTTTCCAACCTTCTTGAAGGATTGAAATTTATAACCATCATCAACCTGCATATCCCGATACTCCTTATTATGCGTTATATGTATTAATGATTCAATCTTGACTTCATGTGACTTTAAACCAGGCACAGCTGTCTCTAGCTCTTCAAGCAAGTCGCACGTCTTCCACGGTAAGTGAGTCACATGTGCACACGGAAACAAAATCTCGTAATGCGCGTCCACCCAGTCTTTTTCAAAGCTGAGAAATAACAAAAAAAAAGAATGAATAATAATTATTGATTATTTTTAACAACGTTAAAGTACTATTGTCCTGGCGTGGGATTTTCTTCGGAGGGCGTCCTCCGATACTCCTGACTACTCCGATGCTTCGTCGACATAATCAGCAATGGCAGCTAGCTCTTCTAGGTGTGTAAAGCGATAAGCGAACGCTCGTTTCTCACTTTGTCACTTCTGCCCGCGTGAACTTCCTTTTTATGCACTATCGAGTACACTATAAGGCCTTTCTGATCCAGCTGCGCCATTGGTTATCAATGCGCATTCAACCACATATGAAGGTGGTTGCCATAGATACCGGTTTCAAACCAGTTCATGCGCATTATTAGAAGTGCTAGTAGTAGTAGGGCTAGGGAGGCTGAGAGATAATAATCTCTCAGCCTCCCGAGCGGCCATAGACATCTATGAAGACCCGGTGAGCCCGTACCTCGAGCCGGCTACCTTTGGCGGGCGACCACCTTTGCATAACAATGCTTTGGTCCTCAAAGGCTCAAACATTTAGTCATCAGTTAGTGACAGCATAGATATACAAACACAAGAATCAACTAAATCAAGCAACAGTTCATTAATGTCTATGGTGAATGCAAACAATGAACAGCATCATGCATGAGTATTTTTAGTCTGTCAAGATCTATTGTACTTGTATGTACATTGCTTTGCTTGCTCGCCCCTTAATGTTTTACATTCATCTAGTTAAAAAAAGTAATTTTGTTGTTTTATAAACGCATAAATAGGGGTGATGTACAGACAGAGTTACATCATATCTATGGTTAGATCTACATCATAGATCTATAGCTAAAACACTAATTTATAACTTGTGTAGTCCTTCCATTATTTTTCCACCATTACATACAAAGTCTGTCTGTGTGACATCATCAGTTTCCAATCCACGTTACACAGTTATAAAATCTATGGTTACGTACTCTTCTCGCCCCAATAACTGCAAACTAGTGTTTGGCAAGATGAGAATAAAAAACAAAAATAGACAAACAAGAAACAACTATACATGTACAACTGGCTAATGAATTGTCAGTGGCTACCTAAATTATCCTCTAAATGATACTACTACACTAAAACAAGAACTAGGAGGAGAAAGTTGAGGCTAAGATTAGGTGTCCTTTGGAACAGGTACACGGGTTGACTTCCATATGTCATCACAATATTCCATTATCGTCCTGTCACTTGAAAACTTACCAACGGCGGCAATGTTTTTAATGCACATTGACAACCATTGGCGGCGATTCTAAATAAAAATAATTCATACTATGATAAATTAAGAGTAGTCTTACCAAAAATGCTTGGGACACTTTTTCCTGACACTCAATGTACGATTCATAATCTTTCATGAGGCAATACCTACATACAACATATACATATAATCATGTGAGAGTCACATGATTACATGTACATACGTATCATGGGAGAGGAGATGATCAACGATGCTATGAAACAAAGACGGCTGATTTGGAGAATAATAACCATTCCTAATCTGGTCAATGGCCAATTTCAATTCCTCGTTAGCTTCGTAATATTGCCTTGGATTGTATGTGCTTTATAAGAGAAGAGAACAATAATAAACACTTTATAAAACAGTTCCAGTACCCAGATGACTTTAGTTCCTGAACTTCCTTCACGTTCATGCCAAAAATGAATATGTTCTCCGGGCCCATTTCCTCCCTCATCTCCACATTAGCTCCATCTAATGTGCCAATGGTAAGGGCACCATTAGCCTACAAATATCATTATAATGATTACAACACATGCTCATTATGGTGGCAACATGCTCACCATAAACTTCATATTTCCAGTTCCTGATGCTTCAGTACCAGCAGTTGAGATCTGCTCTGATAGATCGGAGGCTGGTATGACTGCAAGTAATAAAAATGGAGGGAAAGAGACAGAGTTCAATTAGCACAAGCAGCTGAAGTTTACTACTGACCTTTCTCGGCATAAGAGACACGATAGTTCTCGAGAAAGATGACCTTTAGATTGTCGTTGATGTCAGGATCATTATTAACAACTACAAGAGAGAGAGAGAGAGAGGGAGGGAGGAGGAACAAAATAATACAGAAGACTGAGAATGACTTATAGCAGTTATCCCCTCACCTTTTGCGACACAGTTTATTAATTGAATTATCAATTTGGCAGCATGATATCCAGGAGCAGCCTATCAAAAACAAGCACACACTATGGTGATTGCTGAAACACAAATAGACACACAATTATAGAAAGAGAAAGAAAGAGATACATGTAGAAAGAGTACAGACCTTTCCTCCTATCAGTACTGTGCGTGGAACATAAGACTTGCCAGGATTACTCTTCATTCCTGAGAGGGAGAATAAAGAAATGAGAAAATGACATCAATCAGTCTCCATTATGTCCTCACTGTTGTAAAGGGTGATGATATGAAGGCAGTTCAGGAGTTGTCTCTTGTACTCGTGAATGCGCTTAACTTGACAGTCAAACATGCTCTTGGGGTTGATTTTAACGCCATATTTCTCTTCCAAATGCTCAGCAAACTTGTCTTTATTTTCCTATAAAGAATACATTAAAAAAAATTCAACAGATTATAATAATACTTTTCTTACCTGTTTGACTTTGTATACAGCAGCAATGAATTTCTCGTCTTCAGAAAGTTTGAGGAGCTTCTTTAATTCATCAAGTTTTACAACCCAATCCTCTCCAATTCGCTACAACAGACATAAGACATCAACAAAAGTACAATACATGTACAATTGTACATGCATATTTATTATTATTATTATTATTATTAATATAGAAAGTAGATAGTTAATGGTAGTATGGGCCAGACTAAACAGGGCCATCCACCTCAGTTATCATCATCATCATCATTATTATTACTATTTACTTCAGAAATAACATCAGCCAGTGCTGGATTGCAGTGCCTCAGCCACCGTCTTGGGGTAATACCATTGGTCTTATTCTGAAACTTATCAGGAGTCATCTCATAAAATAACTTAAAACTAAAGAGAGAAAAAAATAATAGTATCACTATAGTCTTCTTTGCTATCTTTCTTGTACATGTACATGCATAGTGTCTCCTTCCTTTCCATCTCTTTTCTCTTACATTGATGTCTTCAGTAGTTCTGAGTGTATGGCAGCTACTCCATTGACGCTGTGTGATCCAATGATAGCAAGGTGGGCCATGTTGATCCTCTTCTCTGGTTCCTCCTCAACAATGGACAAACCTCTCAACCTGTCCACATCACTCGGCCAGCGGAGGCCTACAGCCTACACAATCAATCAATGAATACCTTTAGAGTGAAACACAAATGTAGTACTGTACACTACACATACTTATTACTGTATTAAAAGGTTTAACATTAGGGTTTCCCATAAAGCAAGCACAGTGAGCTAAAAGGCATGCTTCATGAGCTGACAACTGACAAACCAGACAAATAGTTTTTGAGTAACTTTAAAAATTCATAAAAAATCCGAATTCGATTGAAATCCACTCAAACTTGCTGCACAACATGAGAACATGTATATGTATCAGAAAATATTATAAAAATGGAGAATTCTCTCCTGGTCATTTTTTGCAGAATTTACTCAAACACCCTGTACTATAGTACAGAGACTTTGGCCTAATTTTCAAGTAAATTTAAAAATCCATCACCTTCAAATGTCTTGAGTTAATTTCATAAATAATTTGCAAATGTCGCGGAAGAATTCGCTCAAGCATAGCGACGGGCCAGCGCTCCAGTGCCTCTGGTAGGAGAGTATGATTAGTGTAGGCAAAGGTACGGACACAAATATCCCAGGCATCTTCCCAATCCAGCTTCTCATTGTCTAGAAAGATCCTCATTAACTCAGGGATGCTAAGAGCAGGGTGAGTATCATTTAGCTGTATGGCAACCTGTGGGAAGAAAGAAGAATACAAAGGAATTATGGTGAGAAACGAGAATGTGAGATGAAACCATAAACTATACACACGTTCATGTACATAGTGAGAATTTACAAAAACGAACATGATCAAAGTATAGCTGACATGTATGAGTGGTGTTAATAAACATAATATTAAACAGAATTATAAATAATTTTACAAAATTCTACATGTACATTGTACACGTATCCCCCCCACAAAAGTGACAATAACATGTACTCTACAGCATAAGTCTATTAACTGCTCCCTTACTTTATCAGGAAACTCTTTAAAAGAGTCCCTTTTCTTCCCTCCACTCCTCTCTTTGAAAACTTTATAACGTCTAACAATGTCTTGAAGACTGGCAGAGCAAAGGAAGTATTCTTGCTTAAGACGCAGTTCTTTGCCTTCCATCATCTGAAAGGAAGAGAAGAGCATGATAAAGTATGGTCATGAAAGATGATAAATATTAGAGATGACTCTATAATAAAATCTCCACTTACGTTATCATTCGGGTATAAAACACGAGAAATGTTTTCAGCCAAATTTCTATCAAGAACAGCTTTAATGTAGTCACCATGATTGACTATAGAATAACATAACATGCATATATTATTATTCTTATATCAACATACAGTACGAGAGATCAAAACTATTTGGTGATTTAGCCGACCATAGCCTCATTGTATTGACCGTCCCATTCTTAAAGCCTGGAACTGGATAATCGTATGCCATGGCCATTACAACCTAGAGCATCAGAGGAGATCACATGACAGTCACATGACACCAAAATACTCTAACTATACACAATGTACCTGAGTGCCCACCCAGCCATCAATCTCAGTGCGTCCATAATAATGGATGGGTATGCAGTATTCAGGTCGCGGTATCTCCCACGGGTTTCCAAACCTTAACCACTCGTCCGGTATTTCCACCTGTTATTATAAGAAGAGACTAGGGTCAAGCAAATAAATATTATTCCTTACTTGGCAGCCATCAATAATTTTCTGAGTAAATATTCCGTACTCATATCTCATGCCGTATCCATAGGCAGGTAGTTCCAGCGTTGCCATGGAGTCCATGAAACAAGCAGCCAATCGGCCCAACCCTCCATTACCTAGCCCAGCATCTTCTTCGATCTCTTGCAACTCTTCAAGTTCAAGACCCAACTAACGAGAGAGAGAGAGAGAGAGAGAGAGAGAGAACGTGATTTTGTGGTAAGAAGCGATAAAAGTAGATTTACTATGCTTGTATGATTCGTTGAGATAAAATAAAATTAAATTATATCAGGAGATAATAGATAACGATAATCATTAGTATAGATTCATTGGTATATTTATACTATGTACCATGAACTTTACAAAAGGATACTATTATTATTACAAAAGGATACAATAATAATAATAATTGTATTAATAATATTGTTCCCTGACCTGATACAATGCTTCTTCACAGTTGGTGTCGATACCCAGATTAACCATTGCATTCATTAACGATCGTCCAATCAGAAACTCCATTGAAATATAGTACACACGCTAAAAGAAAGAGACATAATGATATTATAATAAGCATTTACATATATAATTATTATTAATATTAAAAAAATAATTAATTAGATAATAATTTCAAACAATTGGCAATGAAGATGTAATTAGGTGTGTAATATGATCATAATTACTTTAGGATCAACGTCGTAGTACTTCTGCTGTGTGCGCATCCATCTAGTAACCATTTGATCTCTGACTGTGTGTGCCAGTGTAATGTAAAAGTCTCTCTTGGTCGCTACATGGCGGTCCTTGACAACCGTCTGGTGAAGATGGCGGTTGAAACTTGTCTTCACGGCTGTCACGTCCTCCAATTGAGGGATGGAGCGTATGGAGATTTGCTTCTTTCTAAAACTGAGGGACCTTTCGTTGGCCATTACCACCTGCCCTGCTATGAGCCTATGACTAAACTCTGGACTCTGGTTGCTCTGCCCTTTATCCCGGGAAATTGACACCTTTTGCGCATGCGCACATATAAAAACTGGGAAAGCAACTTCCGCGGGAAACTCAACTCATTGCGCATGCGCAGTACAACACAACGGGAAATAATTCTTTTAACCATAAACACTGAGGCTGACTTGCCATCATGATATCTTCCACTAGTTTTAGTTCTGGGCTCTCCAAAGTGGGCCTAGAGCAGCAGCAACAAAAAGAGAAGGCAGTACAGCAATCAGCCACGCCAAAGACAAAAAAGAAACGTTTTCTCACACTTTCTCGCCCTTCTTCCTCATCCTCTTCTTCAAGAAAATCTTCAAAAGATTCCGAGGCAATAGGAGAGACACTAACTTCGTCCCTAAGACCAAAACTACCATCACCAACTGTACCAGGATCAAAATTTGCCACTTTGCCACGCCCACCCAAGCCTAGCAAGGCCCCTCCCCCAAGCACCACAACCTCCAAGCCTCCGTCTCATCTTGGAGCCACACCTCCGAAAAAGAGACTCCCATTTTCTCTTACGTCAAAGAGCAGTAGTTCATCGAAATCAGAGACGTCTCCAAAGCCACCGAAACCAGTCAAAGCAAGGTATGACAGTATGAATGTACATGTACACACATACTGTAAATTGAGTGCCGTAAATTTGAACCATTTTGCTTAATTTAATTGAAGTTAATGGCCATGAATATGCAGCTAACAAATTACTTGCTAAAAATCGTTAAAATTAATGGACATTAATATACCCCCACCACTGCAAAAACGTTAAACATAAAGGCAGTCAAATTATTTTGGTTTACAAATTACAATACTCCAGTTACAGTAAAAATGGTATCAATACATTGTGTGTATATGTACATCAATTCATGTAGTAATCTGAGCTTTAGCGAGCTAAAGAAACAGCACCAGGTTCTGCTGCAAGAGGTTGATAGTTTGAAGACTCGATTAGCTGAAGAGAGCAAAGGACACGAAACTAAACTACAAGAGATACAAGGGAGACTGGAAGAATCTGAAATAACTGTGAACATATTGAGACAAGAGGCTGAGAGAAAAGATGGTATTTACATGTACATCCCTATTGTCCTTCACCTCTCTCTCTCTCTTCTTAGCTCTTTTGTTAGATAAAAATGAACAGATCAAGGAGTTGCAAGCAAAACTGGACAGGACTGCGTTTGACAAGTATGTCTGCTTGTTAAAAACCTTCTCATGATACTTGTGTTATATCACTAGGGAGAGACTACTCATGGTAATCGAAAGTGTCCAAAGAGATGGTATGCTAATAATAATAATAATAATAATAATAATAACTTTGCAACACTCATTCTTTTTTTCTTCCCTTTAGCACTTACTGGTGAGCCAATATTCAATGACAATAACCTGTGGCAGGCGGCAAGAGATGAGAACAGATCTAAAGTCCAACACTACACAACGCTATTGGATACAATGATGAACACATTAATCTCAACCAACGATCAACTAGAGGCATGTACAATTTAATTAATCAATGTGTGTAATAGTAACAATTACCCTTTCTCTCTTAGGAGCAAGAACATTACATTAAAAAATCAAGCCAACTTGTACCTCAGACATAAAAGAATTATCACGTGTTTTATCAATCATTACTTTATTACTGGTAGAAATGAAGAAAACGTATGACAGATCGTGTATTTTGTATAAAAATAAACATTTTATACTCTTAGCAAATTAAATAATCATTATGTACAAACTTTTATACGTAGATCTAGTTATATATATTTATGTACAGTTTAGCTCGGTTCTAAAGAAATCAGTCAACCATTGATAATTACCAATCATTACGTCAAGCTTCCTGCTATCGACTTCATCTCTTTCTGTCTTTACTTCATTGGGTTCATCTCTCTGATGTAGGTGTGGCTTTACATCCTCATCGTCCTCATCTGATGTCTCCGCCTTTTCTTCTCTAACTTCGTCAATATTCATCGACTCGGGACAACCTTCTTCAAAGCTGACGAATAATATATTAGTCATTAATAATCGTGCAATGAATTATGCATACTTTGTGGGTTTGGTCTTTGGCAATAGGGACGAGAGATAGGTTTTACAGTATATGCTCATGGGAGGAAGGGAAAGGGGTGAAGTCAATAGAATCTGTTAACATAAAATAATAATAATAATAAATATTATTATTATGAAAACCTTATTCTCTCTTTGATTAACATGAGCCGGGGTCTTGGCTACTGAGGGCACTACAGTGTGGAATGATATCAAATTTTAGAATTTAACTTGTCACATGATAGTCTTACCCGATCTACTGGGTCCAAATATCTCATTGAACCATCGCCTGTTCCTCTGGACATCATAAGCATCAAATGGAAACTAATTATTAATAATAAATAATAACATAAAAAGAACCAATAATTATTTCTATAGTACTGTACCTCAGCTGATTCATCAGTAGAGATTGGCTCATTCCCAGTAACAGTGTACAAGCACTAATAAAATATATAAAAGGGGATTTTATTACCTCCAAATGTTGTGCAGTACCTGCTTCTGGTCCATGAAATAAAGCTGAGATGATAGTCTCCCATCACTTTTGGCAGCAGGGAGGAAAACGGCAGCTTGAATTGACGAAGACGAAAAGTCTTTGTATGTAGCAAGTGGTTTTGGAGAAAGAGGAGACACTATCATCACTAGAGGGGGAAAGGAAGGGAGAGAGTTGAGGGATATTGAGAGAGACATTGCACTGGACGTACATTTTACAGATGTTTTTGATGTTGTGACGGTTGAAGTGAAGATGGCAGCAACGTTTGAGTAAGGATCAGTTACCATGACATCGACACAAATAGGCAACACTAACTCAACTAATAATAATAATAATAAATAAATAAATAAATAAATCAGTTAATGATAAATTTGATAATTATCATACTGTCGTATGTGAGAAGGTTCCACATGTGAAAGTGACGCTTTGATGCCATCAATAAGTAATGGGAAGAGTCGGAATGACAAAAACACACCTCCCTATAAAATTTATTAATAAACATTAAAAACTACATTATAATAAGCCACAGAAATAACCTGAAGGTGTCATTGGGTATTGAACTGCCTAATACTTGCAATAAACTCATAGCCACAGGATCCCATAGTGTCACATACTGAGAGAAAAAGAAAGAGAGTGTGTGTGTATATAAGTATAATTTATTCTCTTCATTTCCTACTTTTCCAAAATTGACTGCCAGTATTGATCCATCTTCACTGAAGCAGCAGCCATTACAAGGAAAGTCGTAATAATGCCCAGCGGATTCACAAATCCAAGAATCCCCTTTTTCTTCTGTCTTATCATCTTGGACCCACAACTACCAACAATTAGAATAATAATAATAATAATAATAATAATAATAATAATAACAGTAACTGAAAATAATAAGCACATGGTATTTTTTACATTTTCTCATACATGTACCACCTAATTCCGATCAAGATTGATTTTTTTAAAAATTAAAGCTGCTCCAAAATTTGGCCAAAGACCATGCTATCAACATTTTTATTCATCAATATGTACATGTAATAGTATATCATAATTTTCCAGTAATAGTAATTGTAATAAAAATAGCACCTCATTTCTGTCTTTTACTCACTTTGAACTTTCCATCAAGTCCTGTAGTGGCCAGCATCAACTGGGTATACCTCTTAGGCAAGGATGACTCATTCCCATTCCTGGACACAAACTGATTCCCGTTCCTTGAGGGATTGGGTCTGAATCTGAGACTAGTAACAGAGCTCTGATGAGGAGGATCAACTATAGTCCTCAGAATATACCTGAGAGAGAAAGAAGGAAAGAAAAATTGCAGTTACTGCATTCATGTTAACACTGCACACATGTTGAAGCATAAGAGTACATGCACATGTACCTTTGTTGATTTTTATCAAATTTCCAAAACTTTAGTTTAATTTCATGAGCGAATCCTTTAGGCTCCCAACTATCAACTGATGCCATCCAGTCACCAGCTGGTGAGAAGCAGGCAAGACTCACAACAGTCGGTACAATGCTCTTCTCATCTGTACGTGAGACATAATTCAGTGACACCACCTCCAACTAGCATTGAGGGAGAGAGAGAGAGGAAGTAACCATGCAGCGGTGTATTTAAATAATTATAATTGATAAATCAAGAGAAAGGATCGATGCTAATAATTAAATAAATGATCCTAACATTCAAAACTTGTTATGTCCATTACCAAACATTTCATTAACATGCATAGCTACATACATTTGACATGCATAACATAATAACACCTCTCCCCCTCAGTAATGAAATAATTGTCAACAAATTACTGATTAATGGGGAAGGTAAAATATGCTTCATGAGCTGACTTAACTTGCTAGTTGCTACACAACATCAGAACATGTATAATGCATCAGAAAATATCATTAAAATGAAGAATTATCTCCTAGTCATTTTTGGCAAAATTTTGCCAAAGACACTGTACTATAGTACAGGGACTTTTGCCCAATTTTTTATCTCTCCTAAGAGTTATTAAAAAATACCCTTTATAGTATAATGGTATTTTGTCAAGTCTTTAAAATCAATTGACAAACCTAAGCCAAAATCCTGTGGAAAACTCTTACCTGCGTCTTCAATGTCAGTGTATTGATATCAACAAATTGAAGGTGACCAGGGAGTCCATTAAGAACCAAAGACTTTGAGCGAGGGTCGTACATGAGGCCAGTACTGAGTCTCTCTTCGTACCCCATGCCAGGCAATGAGCGATAGAGTGATATCAATGTGTGCCTGATCTCATTATCCAATCCAGAGATCAACTGTATTGCTGTAACACAGAGAGAAGAGAGATAAATCTTATAAGTACAGACAAGCTTACCATTATTAGCTAAACTAACTGCATAGACACGGTCGCCAGGGCTACAAGCCACATCTACAATAGGAGCGCCCAAACGAGGTCGGAAATGTTTACTCCCGGTATCCACTTGCCACAGTACCAGTACACCCTCTTCACCGCCGGAGAGGAGATACGTACCATCAGTTGAGAAACCAATATCACCTAATGCATGAGGGTGCCAGTGTAGCTGAGTCGTCGTGACAACAGACTCCTCCCTCATACCATAATTATACCTAAAAAATAAAATTTAATTAAAACCATGGGTGTACTGTATCACGTATAAAGGAAACATAGAGATTAAGGTACATGTACTATTATTTATCTAACCAAAGGAGGATTTTCCCATAAGTATCACCAGTTGCAATGCAGTGCTTCTGTGGATGAGTGGCAACACAAGTAATGGAGAATGAATTGTTATACCTACAGATACATTAAAAATCAAAGCACAATACCACATTCTTACTCGAATAATTTATCTTTATCAATATCATATACATAGAGGACTTTGTTGCAAAATGTGACAATGCTTGAATACTAAAATTAAAAAAACACTAATACAGCAGCTATTAATAAGAATAAAAATTACGTCGAATGTGAAAATTAATTTATTAATTGCCCCATCATCGACAGTGATAATTGGAACATTCTCATCATTGATACATTTCATTGTTGAATTATGCTTAATATCATTAAGAGAGCAACCATTCAGACACATAACACTGTAATCTAGAGAAAGGGAAAAGAAAAGGATATAAAAATAAGTCAATAAAAATGCTTTTACTCATTTTTTCGCTGTCAGCTGTGACAAAAAGCAGAGAAGGATTGCTACCGTGTCGTCTCGAAGCAAAATAAAGAACGGGACAGTCAAAACTAAAACTCTAGATATTAATATCTAATATCAACTATTCAATCATAGTAATCAAAATCACCTTAAGCAACCCTCCATCTGAATAGTCCCACACAACAATGTGCCCATCATTATAAGAAGCATATACCTACAAAGAAATGAACACTGACCAACAGATATGAATTGGGCCATCTACTTTATTGGCTTTCGATTGCCCCAGTTCAAGATGAGTTATAAGGCCGTCATATTTTGATATGAGCTCTCTAACTATCCTTCCAGTCTCAATAGAATACACTTTCACAATAGCTCCACAAGGCACTAACAAAAGTCTACAAATAAATTGAACGAGAGATTAAAACTCGTAAAATTTAGTATCACACGAATGCTTACCTTCCGTCCTGTGTAAAAACTCCACTGTGAGACACCTGGCTCACTCCAGTAAGGAGAGAGACGCTCTCAGAGCTCCAATCTTTCTTTTTAAAGGTAGCCATCATATCGCACGTGGTTTAGCCACGCCTATTCTATTAATTCTGGTTATTAAATAGTTTTGTTCAATAACTAGTTTTAATAACTTGTTACCGCCCATGTCACGTGCCATTTATTTGGGAGCGGTTTTTAATTGGAGGTGAGCCAATTTTTATTTTATTTATTTAATTTTATTTATTTTTCTACACTCGTTCCAGGCCATTAATGTAGTGCAAAGAAACACACCAAGTATCAGTCTCTTGGTAAATTTATAGCCTTTGAAAGATGAGCCAAAATGCCATTATATCATTTTTGAAATATAATTATTTACCATTGATTTTGAATAATTGTAACAGTTTAAGTGATTGGGATGCAGTAACATGCATACCACATCAAAGAATGATACTTTCTATTGATAATGAAATATTGCATGCTATTAGTATTATTTATTACACTGTTATGTACTGATGTGCATATTTTCGGTATATCCATTGCATTGATTAAGTACTATCATGCCCCTGTGTAAGTAATGAGATGTATACTGCATCTACTTATACACCTGGCTATATCACATTTAAAGAAATACTTTTGGGTATAGCATCCTCTTTGTTGCACTAATTTCAGTAATTTCTAATACACACATTATTACATGTAAATTTCACGCGAGAGTAATTATTTTTTATTCATTTTTGCTACCTTACTCCATGTGTACATCTCTCTGTAGTAATGGCTACTATAATATCCCACACTACACCTCATCATCCTCGTATAACTATTGTTGAAGCAAAGGACGCCATTCCCTCCTCTTCCTCACCCTCCTCATCTCTAACTTCAGAAACTTTATCACAGAGTTCCCTCCCAAGATCTCCTTTAAAGAGCAGTCCGATAAAAGATCCCATTCCTCCTTTTACTCGGTCTCGTGTCCTTAAACACGTTAGTCTTCCTCGCTCAAAGTTAAGAGAAATCACTCCACATTCGCCTTCTCTCTCTCTTCAACAAGGGCCTCAACCTCCTCCTCGTGTTAATCCAGAACCAGTACAAGGTATTATTATGCAGTGTCTTATCAAATTATTATATCTATTATAATATTTATGTATATTGTGAATGTACATAATTTATATTGTGTATCAGCAGCATCACTCAACTGATTTAACTTGTACAAGTATGAGAAACCGACCTTTTACTATAATTTTATTCGCAGAGTATAGCATTATTACATCAGAGGAGCCATGAGGTTGTCAATCTATCTAAATGTGGCATGCATCCAAATGACTCTGTTTATGCTTAAATCATCTCTATATCATTACGTGTACATGTACATGGGAAAATAGTTTTTGATGTTATACAGTACATGTACATGTATGGGACATCCTGGCTTATGATTGTATATCTTAATTGGTTGGTGTAGTATCTCCATTTATATCATTTCCCCATTATTAATTCTATTATGGTACACGTACATGGCTGCAAGGAGGGGTGGGGGGTAATATCTTATCCAGGGGTCTGGGACTTACTAATGTCAAGGAGACAAAAGGCTCTGAGAATTTGTCAACTATGTGGAAAGTTTGAGCAAATTCTGGCTACACAAATTCCAAATTGTTGATCTCAAAGTTCCAAGAAATAGGAAATAGGATTGATGACTATGAAAGACTAAGATAATGGTTTGTACTGTCTTTATGTGGTTTGTTAGATCCACGTATTATATCAGTAATTTCACATCCTGTATTTACTGGTAGACCCAATCTACCATGAGAGCTTGTGGTTTAGTTAGAGCCTATTATCTGCACACGTGTACTTGTGGTATCCTACAAAATTTGTGCGTTTCCTTGTCTATAAAGTGTATTATCTTTCTGGATGTGTGTGTTTAACCACAACCATAAATCATAAATCATAAACCATAAGGCATAAATCTAAGTGTTTTGACAACGTCTAATTTCAGCTTTTGTGTCAATTATTTGCAAGACCAATAGACAATTAAGCAATAAATTAACCAGTAATTGCTCGGTTTTTGATTTAACTGTTTTGGCATTACATGTATGTGAAATGCAAGCAAACAAATATGCTCTTATGTACTAGATCCACTTATAGTGTTTAGTACTGTTTACTTTGATTATTTGTAAAGTACAGTAGCAAAAGTTAATTCTTAATGATGCATATATGCACAATATTAGTTATTAGTCCATGGATAGTATATGCAAGTTATACATGTACATGTATGTATTGTACAGGATATATTTTACATGCATACATTGCAATAAGGACATTATTGTACTTAAACCTTTTAAGTTCTTTCCCTCCTCTCTCTCTCTTTCTTCTTGATGCTATTTTACTTTCACGAAAGGCAAACAGTTTAAAAGCTTTTTACTTTAAAACATGTGGTGCTTTCTGAAAGCAGGAGTCTGCAGGTGAATGTAATGGCTTTTAGTTTACTTTGCCTTAATGTTTTGTTATTCCTCTTAATCTGCATTTGGGAAAAGTTAATTAATTATAGTTTAATGAATGTATTGTTGTGTTTCAATAGCAAAGAAGGCTTGTCCCAATCTGCTTGGTCTGTACTAAGTTTATTTTTGATTTATTATCAATCCTTGACTTTTTTCTTATATTTAAGTACATGTAGATGTAGTTTGATTCAATACAGGAGATATGCATGTAAGAACCACTGACTATTATTAGTGTATGTGTGTGTATATATATACACTAGCTCTATAATGAAATTAACATCTGCCTAATGTCATTTAATGTCATTTCTATGCTGATATCACTCATTGTACTTGCATACTTATATTTATGGCTGTTTGTGTTATAATTATTCTGAGAAAGCAACAGTCGCGTCATCCGGTTTGATTCTGTGCATCATTATGATATAAGTAATTAAGACATTGTGAGGAGTTAGTGAGTTATGGAGAGCGTGTGACTATTTGGTTATATGTGCTGTGTAGTCATGCGTATATTGTGCCATTGTAGCATCCTGTAGCCGGTAATTATTTCATGATATTAATTGGATTAGTATTCAATGGTCTTATAGTGGGCAGCATTCCGTCTCTGTTACGTGTATCTTTGAATGGTCTCTCTCTCTCTCGTTTGTAACTGATTAATATTTAAATTATTATTATCATATAGCTGCATGGTTTATTCTGCATGGATTTTTATTTTTATTTTGTGTTGAATTATTGTTCATTTTTCAGTCAAAATGATTCCTCTAAGTTTTATTAGTATCAATAAAAAACTTTAAAATTTTGTAAACCACGAAAATTATAAAAATTCCAATAAATATTCTTAAAACGAAAATTTGAGGTCATGAAATAAACCAGCTATACAGAATACAATATAAGTTATTCTTTATTAGAACCATGCACTTGTATTTTCTGTTACTTATTTGATGAATGAACACAGCTGTAGAATGGATCATTTTTAAATTAAATGTTTCTAAATGCAGTATTGTATTATGGCTCATTAATAAATGCATTAGAATTTTTCAAAGAGAGTTTCAAATGATGTAGGCCTGGTGACATAATCTACACATGTCAGTTTCATGCTTTGTTGGGGTCTCTGTCCTGGGCTTCATCCTGTTAACCTAACCTCCTTATATCCTCTTTTATTATCATAATATCTCATTCTCTCTGTATTGTACTGCCTGATATAATCGTGACATAATATTTATGACTATGTATCTTCGTGTCTCCTTCCCATATGATCTAGGTATATCTGTCATGATTTGATAGTTTGTACAGTAATTACACGTAGAAAGGTGATTCAGTCCCTATTATTCTTTAGCATGATGTAATCCAGTGTATATTTATAACATCCTTTATGTCTATCATGTGAATAGAAAATCTTTGATGATTATCAATGATGATACATGTGGGCATGTACATGTATGTATCATGAATAGTATATAATTATCATCTCATTGAGGCTCTCTGACTTCATTGTCTGCCGCTATTGTCAGCTGTCTGCTTGAGTGACGATCGTTATCTGCTACATTAGCATAAGAGCAATTCTCTACGGCATTTTTTGAAAAAGTCCAATTTTGATCGGGATCAGCTCAAACCTTCTACACATCATAAGAACATGTGTTGTATGGTATTATGTATCAGGAAAAATTATAAAAATGGAGAATTCTCTCTTTTTAATTTTGGCAAAATTTGGCCTGAGACCATGTACTATACAGGGACTTTTAGTACAATTTTTGAGCAAATCCAATTAGTTCTACACAACATAAGAATATGTATTATGTATCAGGAAAAATTATAAAAATAGAGAATTCCCTCCTTTTTAATTTTGACCCGAGACCATGTACTATAGCACAGGGACTTTTAGTACAATTTTTGAGCAAATCCAACAAGTTCTACACAACATGAGAATAAATGTGTATGTACATTATACATAATGTTTATGGTAATAATTATAATGCAAGTCAAAGCATTCCATTAATTATGAACACTGACTCCCGATCAGGAAAAACACATTAGCCTGTCTGCATTTCGATGGCTTTGAATGCTTAGTGATAATTTTAAGGCTTTTGTCTTTGTAGTATAAATTTATTGCATTGCTATGTGTAGCAGTAATGTAGTAATGGGGCCTGCATACTCTGTATGGGTGTGTGTGTTTGTGTGTGTGGAGCCATACAGTCTGTCTTATGTCTACCTACTCCTTGGGAATAGGTGTGATTTCAGCATTTAGGTAATAACTGGAATATCTATATAATGCTATTTTGTAAGTGTGTATGTCATGGCCTAATGATGATGTGTGTGTGTATGTGCTTAGTGACCTGATGTCTCTCTAGTAAAATCAATTCAGGAATTGATTCTCATTCATACATGTACAGTACATGCTATTGGGTATGTGTTACTCTATCAGTCCCATTGATAGGAGGGCACTGTATGTTTTCTTTTTGCATTGAGTAACAAATTTTTGGATAACAGGAAAGAGAGAGAGGGAGAGAGAGAGAGGGAGAGGCTGGCTGTTACATGTACATTTCCTTTATAGGTAACCACATGTACTTATATACATGTACATGTAAATTTTATATTCTATTCTTGCTATGTTTACTTACAATTAATGATGACAAATTGCTAACGGTACAAACTCTATTGGCACATTCTTAAGAAACACATGAAGTCATTTCTGTAAGTTAATGCTTTCTTGTTGTACCATTTCCTTATGCCCCTGCCAATGACGTCTAGTTTGTATTTACTTGTACACAAACACATTGCTGAAACTTTTACCATATTCCGTTGAAACTAATTGCCTATTGTCTGGTATTACAATTAGCACTAATGACATCAGCATGTACATACACTTCTCTCTTTATTGAATTACATGAGCAAGCTTCTCTCCCTCTTCCTCTAATTGGAGTAGATGGCATTCCGTTGCCCAGCAACGCAATTTGTGGTTGCCAGGCGACTGTTTTCATTGCGTGTTTTGGTATGGTTTGTGTAGCCTCTGCTGATGTAATAGGATATAGGATTTCATGATAAAAGAGTTTAGTGGTAATTCGGATAAATGAATTGTTTTATAAGTTTTGTATTATTATGGTGAATGGAGGGTTAGTTTAGTGTGCCCATTCCTCTTCCACTTGTTCTTGTTCTATTGGATCTCTTGGTGTCTTATCTTTCCCTCTTCCTTGCATAACTTCTCTCCCTCTTTCTCCTCGATTCGCTTCTCATATTCCCTTCCTAATAATATACTTTTCATTGTTTGTGAAACTAAAGCCCTTTGCTTGATACGGTATAGTCATTCTCAGCAATCCAATATGTTATGCATGCAGTGCTTCCTGTACTTGGAGTCATTGCATGCATAGATCATTCTAAATTTCTTATTAATTGTTACAGTATTATCTATATGTATATATACATGCATGCATACACATTTAAGTGTAATGCTGAATTATCTACATGTGCATGTACATACCCCCACATTGTGTTTACTTGCTCTTGATTGTGTTTGTTTGTGTGTAGTGGCGTGTGTTCCTCCTGTACTTGTGTACTTTTCATTAATAATAATTCTTTTTCTAAAGGCCACACATGCAACTGCATGTCT